AGCTCATCCTAGTCATTCCATTAATTAGAAATAACATGACCCTGCATTTTATAAGAGTGATTTTTTTGGGACCACACTTATTACATTATGATAGTTTTGTTTTTTCCTTTAACATTTTATTTTGAAATAATTAGAGAGTCACAGAAAGTTGCAAATATAGTACAGAAACAGCCCATGTACCCTTTAACAAGTTTGCCCCAATGGTTATACCTTACATAAATATAGTATCAAAACTAGGAAACTGACATTGGTACAATGTGTGTATACAGCTCTGTGTCATTTTATCACATATGTAGATTTGTGTAACTATCACCATAATCAAGATATACAAGTAGTCTACCATCATAAAAACATCCCTCGTGCTGCCTCTCCTCTTTCTAGTCACATTGCCCACCTTCTCCTCTACTTTCCCTAACCCCTGGCAACCAATAATCTGTTCTCCATCTTATGATTTTGAAATTTCACATGTTTTTTAAATGGAATCATACAGTATGTGACCTTTTGAGATGGGCTTTTTTTTTTTTTTTTTCACTTAGCATAATGCTTTTGAAATCCATCTAAGCTGTGGTATTTATCAGTGTTTCATTCCTATTGCTGAGTTGTATTTCATGGTATGATAGTCTTATGTGTCAACTTGCCTATCAGTTATTTAATCAAACACTAATCTAGGTGTTGCTGTGAAAGTATTTTACAGATGTAGTTAACATCTACAGTCAGTTGACTTTAGGTAAAGGACATTACCATCGATAATGTGGGCAGGCCTCATCCAACCAGTTGGAGGTTTTCAGAGCAAAATCTGAGGTCTCCCAAAGAAAATGAAATTCTGCCTCGAGACTACAGCATCAATTTCTGCCTGAGTTTCCAGTCTGCCTACCTAATGTACAGATTGTGGACTCAAGACTGCAACATCAACTCCTGCCTGAGTTTCTAGACTGCCGGCTTGTTCTACAGATTGCAGATTTACTAGCTCCCACAAATACATTAGCAAATTCCTTAAAATAAATCTCTTAATATATTGGCTCTGTTTTCCTTAAGTACACACAGTATGGATGTGTCAACAATTTGTTTACCCATTCACTTACTGTAGAATATTTGGTTGTGTCCAGTTTTGGGCTAGTACAAATAATGCTGGTATGAAGAATCACATGTAAGTTTTGGTGTGGATGTAAGTTTTTATTTTTCTGGGATAAATGCCCAAAAATGTGATTGTTGGGTTACATGATGAGTGTTGTTTAGTTTTTTTAAAGAAACTAGTGAACTATTTTCCAGAGTGGCTGTACCTTTTACATACCAGCAATTTATGAGTGGTTCAGTTTCTCTGCATCTGCTATTGTCCCTATTTTTATTTTAGTTCTTCTAGTTAAGTGTGCAAGGAGCCCTGGTGGTGCAATGGTTAAGCACTTGGCTGTTAACTGAAAGTTTGGTGGTTGGAATCTACCAGCTACTCCAGGGAGAAAAGGCCTGGTGATCCGCTCCCATAAAGATTACAGCCTTGGAAACCCTATGGGGCAGTTCTACTCTGTCCTATTGGGTAGCTGTGAGTCAGAATCGACTCCACAGCACACAACAACAACAGTTAAGTGTGCAGTGATAACTCATTGTGGTCTTAATTTGCACTTAACTAATGGCAAATGATGTTGAACACCTTTTCATGTGCTTATTTGCCTTATGTATACCCTCAGCTGTGAAACGTCTCTTCATGTCTTTTGTTCATTTTTAAATTAGATTTTTTTAAAAACTATTGAGTTTTGAGAGTTCTTTATATATCCTACATACAACTCCTTTGATAGATATTTGGTTTGCACATGCATATCTTCTCTCAGTCTGTAGCCTGTCTTCTCATCTGACTCTTAACATGGTCTTTCACAGAGCAAAAGTTTTTGATTTTGATCAAGTCCAACTTACTGATTTTGTATTTCTTTTTGGATTGTGTTTTTGTGTCATATCTAAGAACTCTTCACAAGCCCTAGGTCCTGAAGATTTTCTCCTATATTTTGTTCTAAAGGTTTTATAGTTTTACATTTACATCTATGGTCAGTTTTGAGTTAATGTTTGCATAATGTGTGGGACATAGGTTGATGTTCATTTTTTTTGTCTATGCATATTCAGAGAAGCCCTGGAGGTGCAGTGGTTAAGCCCACGGCTGCTAACCGAAAGGTCAGCGATTAAAACCCATCAACTGTCCCATGGAAGAAACATGTGGCAGTCTACTTCTGTAAAGATTACAGCCTTGGAAAACCTATAGGACAGTTCTACTCTGTCCTATAGGGTCGCTATGAGTTGAAATCGACTCAACAGTAATGGTGGTGGTGGTAATGGATGGATGTCCAATTGCTCCAGCATCATCTGTTGAAAGGATTATCCATCCTCCATTGAACTACCTTTGTACCTTTGTAAAAAATCAGTTGGCGATACTTTTGTAAGCTATTTCTGGTTTCCTTCTTTCTTGTCTGGGCAAATTACACATAGGCTTCCCTTCATAAGGATAGTTTTCCTAAATGAATATGTTGTTGAGGATGCTCATAAGGCCTATCAGTCTTTATGAGTTTAACATTCAGACAGATATCAGATTATTCAGAGTGATCTTGCAGTCTGCAAGATATTATCCCCAGCCCCCAACAGCCATGATTTTCACCTAGTGAAATAAATTGAGATATAAAACTGAGTGTGTGAGTGGACTTTAACAGTATACAGCTAAAATGTTCCCCTTTTACATTTTACCCTCTTCAAAGTGCCCACAATAGCTTAATAACAAAAATTTCTGTCCCAAAGGAACTGCATAATTAGAAATCTGATTCCATCCCCTCTTAAAAGGTCATTATAGATTTGGGATTTTGGAGGAACTCAGCTTGGATGGAGCCAGAAAAATTAAATAATAAGTAAATGCAGATGGTTTTAATTCTGTATACCTCCTGGATGCGAGTCATATGACTTCCAAATTGGGCTAGGTGGGGGAATCAATGGAATTCTTTGGTTTTGTAGGGGTCAAGTTCTAGCCTAACTTTTTTCATGGTGATATAACCCTGAAAACAAATTTCATAGTACAAAAGATTGAAATTAATGATTAGAAAAATAGTATGATGCTATCTATGGATTTCAATTAGCCTGTCTATGGTTACCAAAAATCATTGAGAGATGGATTTAAACTGAGAGATGGAATCAGAAGTTTAATAAGGAGTACAAGTATCACAGTAAAATTTTTGACAATTTTTTTTGGGTTCTGGCATCAAACTGTGGTTATATAAGATTATATAATTACACAGGTAAAGACATATAATTAAAGGGGTAAAGAAAACTTAGATCATTAACAAAAAACAGGGAAATCTGGTGCGTTCCTATATATTATAACATCTGCATACTTCTTTTTTTATTTTTAATGGGTGAGGACTAGATAGAATTTCCTGGACACTTTTAAAGAGCTGAATGCTCTTTTATGCTACATGCCTGGTAGTAACAAAAAAGTGGAAAAGCTCTAATTATGCCATAGTAGAGGTTTAAACCATAATTAGAGAATTAAAAAAAAATACGAAACAACACAACCTCCCTCCCCCGCTCCCAACTGTTAACAAGGTATTTATATCAAGGCTAATGTTAGCACAGGGAAGAGTAACTAGAGCATTCATCCTTGGCTATATTATTGTCCTGGGTTATATTTGTTAACTTGAATCATTTCTTTGAAATAGGTCCTGTACTCCTTGGAATCATTAGGACCAGTACATGATACTGTATTTGGTAGATTTTTCACATCTCCTGCACTTCACAACAAGAATTTCGTTGTAGTCACCTGCACCAATTCACTACTAAGACATAGTGACTCAAGGAAACAATGATTATCCCTCAAAACCAAATTAATAAAGGTCCAGTGAATAAAAGTTCTAGTTGTTCATTAGGATGCCATAAACATTTTGAAAACATTTAAATCTTTACAAAACATACATTGAAATAATTTGGCCTAAGATCAAGGTGATTTAAGAAGACAGAAAAAGAATCTTACTTCTTCATATACAGTGGAACCTGTGACAGCCAGAATTTGATGGGACTGCTTTTGTTTTTCCGGGTCTTCCAAGTTTTCCGTCTTTGACAGGGTGTAGTCTTACCACTTTTCTACTGCTCTTTATTAGTGGAAAATATTTGAGCTTTCCTTCTCTGACAGGTTTCTGCCTTACATAGGTTCTGGCTTTTCCAGTTTTTACTCTAACTGCTTTCCACTCTACTTGAAATGTAACTAAAATAAGAATAATAATAACCCTGTTGTTGTCAAGTTGATTCCGACTCATAGCGACCCTACAGGACAGAGTAGAACTGCCCCACAGTTTCCAAGGAGCGGCTGGTGAATTCGAACTGGCGACCTTTTGATTAACAGCTAAGCTCTTAACCACTGCGCCACCAGGGGTCCAGTCCTTGCAATTTCACAAGTAGAAACATTTTACAATTTTCCTCTCCTTTCCTATTATGGATCATTGAGCATTTTATAACTCTCTATTCCTGCAAAATGATAGAAAAAAAAGTAGAGAGGAGGAGAGGCAAAGGAGAAAATAAAGATACACAAAAAAGAAAAAAAAATTATGTCAGATATGAAGAGAGAAAGTTCAAGAGACTAGATGTCAGGTATGGAAAATGAAAAAAAAATGAAATAAAGTTCAGAAAATAAGATCAAAATTAAAAAAACCTCTGCACTTACATTGCTTGGATTATTTCTATGAAAGGCAAATACTTGGTGAGGGATAACCATAACTTTATTATGACGTATTCTTATTCAGATAAGCTTATCTGTTTCTAGGTTGAGATGTTTATAACTGGAAAAAAACCTCAAACTATTCTTTTTGACCAATTTTAGGGTCAAACATTAAGGACCAAAATAAAAGCCTGACTATACTAAGTAAGTTATAAAACTGTCAGCTTTATCTATACTTTGGTATACCTAAACTTAAGAAAAAAATGCTTTTAGGTCATCTGAAATTCTTGGTGGAAAAGTAACATGATAGGAGAATTCTGGTTACCGTTTAAATTTGAAGCACTTGATCTGCTCTGGTGACAAAGGTGGTTTTAGCAGCTAGCATTACTTTCCGTTAAAGTTTCAAAGTGCTTTGGGTCTTTCCAAGATGAATGTCCTTTCTTCGTTGCCTCTCATTCCTTAACTTATTTTCTCAAGATAGCAATGTTTCTGTAAGAGAAAAAAATGAAATAGCAGCTATTTTGAAGAGCAAACTAGTTTAAAATATATTGGACATTTTTCTTTCCTTTTGGATATTGCTAATGTCACCCTCACTCAACAGTCATACTTAGTCCAATTCATTTAAGTAATAACTTCCTTATTCAGGTGGGGATATGGATAGTACCACATATACTAAAGAACTCCCCATGTCATACCTAAGAAACAACCATCTTAAAAGAATTAAAATAGCACTGATACACTCGTGACATTCTATGACTTCCTCTGATTGTCCTTGTAGACTTTTTTTTTGTTTTGTTAAAAGTATATGAGTATTAATTAAATGTGAAATCACGGAACTTTATTTTTTCACCTTTATAAAAATACAATTCTAAAAATCACAACGCCCAACTTTGGTACCCAAAACCCAAAAACCACTACCGTCGAGTCAATTTTGACTAACAGTGACCCCATAGAGTTTATAGGGCTGTAAATCTTTACAGAAGCAGATTGCCACATCTTTCTCCCGTAGAGAGGCTGGTGGGTTTGAACTGTCCACCTTTTTGGTTAGCAGCTGAGAGTTTTAACCACTGAGCCACCAGGGCTCCTTAACTTTGGTAGAACCTTTGTAAAATATAAAAGTAGATATCCTCACATGCAAAAATTTTCCTAGCCAACTTTAGGCTCAAGTATGAAATATATTCATAATTTGGTTTTTAAAATATCACCCAAAATTAAATTAGTAAATTACTATATATTTCTGACCCATTAGATACATGTTCAAAACTGTCTCAATTTCTAATTTGTTTTCTCTATAACATCATAGACAGGGAAAATAACTGGAAGCGTTAAGTAGAAAATGAAAGATAAATGTGTTTTCTTCTAAGTAATTCTTGATTGTGCTAACATATTAGAGAAACAAACCTTTCGATAAATTTTAAGATTACAGAAAAACATTTTAAAAAGAAAGTTTTTATAAGCACACCATCAAACAAAATCTAACTCCAACACAGCCAGGTTATTCATAGTAAAAACAATACCCAATCTTACAGTGCTTTGAACTACATATCCATCGCCTCATATGGTACATAACAATGTTAACTGGTGTGCAGGAGAACTATTACCAAGAATATACAGATATCACCAATAAATAGATGAAGAAATGATGATGCCCAAGATCATATATCCAGTCAGTGGCAAATTTACTTAGTCTTCTTTCCATTATAAGAAGAGTCCTTAGAGAAGAAAAATGCAATTTAAGCCCAGTTTACTTTGAAATTTGAAAATGAAATAAAATTGAACATATAGATATGGAAATCTTAGTAACCCAGAAAAGCACATAGTGATAAACAGAGGAATAAAGTGATATCCCAAGGGTAGGTGTTCAGCTAATGGAAAAACTGAAATGAGAACCCAGATCTCCTTACTCTCCTAATGTAGTAGTATTCTATTACCTTCTAATAAACCCTCCTGCTGTTCCTTCCTCTAAGACCAAAATATTAGTTTTTCTGAATATTTTATTCTTGAACTTGTAGCTGCTCTAATCATACTATAGACATTGGAAGCTTACCCAGCAATGTAAGAGATGAAGAGACATGAACTGTGTTTAAATTTTCATATTTTAAATGTGTGACATGTAGGCAGGATATAGTTAGGTCTTGTATTTTTATACAATATGAAAATCTTTGACTCTAGAAAGTTTAGTCCATTTATATTTAATGCAATTATTGAAATGACTGCACTCAAAACTACCATTTTGGTGTTTGTTTTCTATTTCTATTGTTCTCTGCTGCTTTTTGTTACATATTGTTACTGTTCTACCTTTTCCTGCCTTAATTTTAGTTAATCAAATATTTTAAATGTTTTATTTTAGTTGCTGTATACCTCTTTGTACTGAGGAAGAAGTGTTGCCACTCTAAGGATTACAACATACATCTTTAATTTATCAGTCTACTTAAGCAAATATTGAACCTCATGCAAAGCATATAAATCTCGCAACAGTATAATTACATTAATGCCATTGTTCTTTATTGCTAGTGTTGTCATATATTACAACTCTATATATATTACAAAATTGCTTAATTAAATGGTATAACTTTTACTTTTAAGGAAAGAAACACAAGGAAAAAAAGATAAATCTTTTATATATTTGTCACTCTTGGTGGTTTAATTTCTCCCTGCAGAACCAAGTTTCCATCTAATATCATTGCCCTTCAGCCTAAAAACTCTCCTTCAGCATATTCTTTTATACTGAAAGACTACTGAAAATAAATTATCCAAGATTTTGTTCATCTGAAATTGTCTTTATTTTTGAATGATGTTTCCATTGGATATGAATTCTGGGTTGAACATTTTTTTCTTTTGGCTCTTTGAAGATGTCATTTTATTGTCTTTTTCTATTATTATGATGAGAAATCAGCTGTCATTAATATTATTGTTACTCTATATCTTTCTCTTGTTTTCAAGTTTTTTTTTTTTTAATCTTTAATATTCAGCAGTATGACTATTATGAATCTAGACGTGGTTTTCTTTGTATTTATTCTATTTGAGGTTCACTGAGCTTCCTGGTTCTGTAAGTTCATTTTCAGTCAAATTTAAAAACTTTTCAGCCAATATTTCTTCACTTAAATGTGTATGTAAAAAAAATTTTTGAAATGGCGTATCTTTGGCTATGTGTATTTTCAAAAAAAAAAAAAAAAAAAGTTGAGAATTTAGAGCGTTAAAATGTTGTGGGGTTGTTAACCAATGTCATAAAACAGCATGTGTGTTACTGTTACATGAGAAACTATCTGTTCTGTAAGCCTTCATCTGAAGTACAATAAAATATTAAAAAAAAAAAAAATTTTTTTCTGCCACATTGTCTCTCTTTTCTTTCTGGCATTCTAATACACCTAAGTTTGGCTGTGTGTTATCCCAGAGACCACTGAGGATCTGTTCTCTCTCTCTCTTTTAATTTTTTATTTCTTTCTCTCCTCTCTAAGACCAAAAAGAGATCTTCTCTGCAATCTTCTATTGCAATTCTTCTCCTTGCAATATTTTTTTCTCTTTGTTCTTCAGGCAGGATAACTTCTGTTGTCAGGTTCACTGACATGGTCTTTTGCAATCTCCCATCTGTGGTTAAGTCTACCCAGTAAAATTTCCATTTCAGGTATTACTCTTTCCAGTTCTACAATTCCATTTAGTTTTCAGTTCTAAGTTGCTGAGATATCCTATATTTTCACTCATTATGATCCCCTTTTCCTTTAACTTCTTGATCAGATTTATAATAGCTGATTTAAAGTTCTTGTCTGCTAATACCAATGCCTGAACTAACTCCTTATTCTTTTAATTATGGGCCATCTTTTCCTGTTTTTTCACGTTTATTTTATTTTTTTTTGTATACTGGGAAGCAGGAATAATATACTGCAAAAACTCTGAATTTTGTTATCCTCCTTTGAAGAGCGTTGATTTTTCTTCTACTAAGCAATCAAGATACTAGCTAATCATCTTGAACTTGTGGACTCTTGGTTTAACACTTTGTTAGGGAGGATATGTTTCAGTCTTGCCCTTAGTCCTAGAACAAATCCCTTAGTCCTTGGACATAGTCCCTTCTGAGATTTCACTGGAAACTCTGATGTGTTTTAAAAATCCTCTAACTTGGTAGGACTCAAAACTCCAAACTTGATCAGAAATATCTGCTCAACAACTTCCCATTCTAGCTACTGATTTCCACTGGACTTTATGGAGTCTCCCCTATCTATGTGAACTTAAGAGGTCAGCCAAATGTTTTACAGGAGTATATATATATCAATTTTGAGGTTCCCTTCTCTGTGCTTTCTTCCTTTCTGGGGATTTCTACCATTAAATTCTAGAAAAACTGACAAAAACTTGAATGGGGTTGTGGATTAGACAGTAGTAACATATCAATGTTGAATTCCTGATCTTGATTAGTGTATCTTGGTTATGTGGGAGAATGCCTCTGTTTGTAGGAATTACACTATAAAGTATTCAGAGGTGATGGGGTATAACGTCAGCAATTTATTCTCAAATGGTTCAAGAAAAAAAATCATCTATTCTAGGCTTATACTTGTTTATAAGTTTGAAATCATTTTTTAACAATTTAAATGTATCCATAGACCCTATCACACTTCTAAAATGTCTTCTGTAAAACTCTACTATGGCTAAATGCTTGGAGAAAAGTAGTTCTGTGATGAAGAAGTTTGGGTAACATTACCAGTTATATCCTTTCTTGACAATTCACAACACATGTTAGCATATCGAACATTTCTACAAATCATGCAGTAGACATGACTTCATTTATTCATCCTTCCCCCCTCATATATATTATATACTTGGGGCTTACTATGGGAAAGGCAGTGTTCAAAGTACTAGAGACAGAAAGGAAAAGGGAGGCAAGATCTCTATTCTAGTGCAGAAAGGCAGACAAATAAGTAAATAAACTAATTTCAGATGGTGATACATGCTCTGAAGAAAATAAAACTGGGTGTTGGAGAGAAATTGGGAAGGTGGAAGCACCGTTTTAGACAGTGCATCAGGAGTAGGTACTCTGAGGAGGTGACACTCAAGTTGAAACTGAACGAAATAAGTCAGACAGGAAAGTCATAGGAGAAGAGTGTTTTACAGTGGGGCATAAGATAGGAATGAGCTTATAATGTTCATGGAAAAAGGTAGCTGGAAGTTTATTGCAGGGAGATAAGGTAAGAGAGATAGAAAGGGACTAGAACATATGGGTCTTTGTAGGCCATTATAAAATATTTGGATTTTATTTGATGAAATTTTTTTTTATTCATTCAACAAATATTTATACTAGAGTAAATACCATGTGTAACGCCATGTGGGGCTGAGGGTATAATAGTGAACAATGCAGATACTGTCCGTGTGATGGTACATCTTAAGCAGAGGAGTAACACTAAGTTTTTTAGAAGACTGCCTTGGCTACTGTATAAAGAATGGATTGAGTGGGAGGATTACAAGAGGAAGCAGAGAAACCAAATAAGAAACTATTCAGTAGG